GGCCCTTTGTTGTCTGAGCTGCAGGCCTTTTGGGAAAGCCCCAAATCCAACTGCTATCAGTAACGTCCTTTGCTACTACTGTTAAACTCTGCACCATTAGTTGTTATCTTGTGGCGCTTTACTGCAAAATAATGCATATGACAAAAAGTTCATCGCCATATGAACCTTTCCACTTAATTATTTCCAGAAAGCGATTAGACCAGCCTCATCCTTGCAGAAACCCCCGCCAGTTACAACACTGGCTGAGATATTTGGATGACTTTGGGTATTTGGACGTCTGCCTCCTTTTCCCTCTGCAGCCCGTAAATAATGTTTGTCAGTAGATCCCAGAGAAATGAATAGCTGCTGTTTGAGTCGAAGCAAACGGAGGCCTCTAATCTCAGCATTCGAAGCTTATATTTTAATATCTTCAAAACACCGAGGATCTAGTTTGTGGATCCTGTAACCCAAACAATTTACCAAATTTTCTTGAAGAGTGAAATTTTTCTGTATGTGTGAGATGGAATTTCTTCAAGTGGAAAATTTCACTAGATGGAAAAACAGTGTAATTCCTGAGGTCCTCCCATTATTTTAAGCTTAGGGAGGCAAACAGTCAGTTGTTGTTTTTTTTTATTTCCCCCCTTTTTTTTTTCTCTATCGCACTGCCAACGAAGTAATTAGACCGGGAAAATAGTGGCACAGAGGAACAGCAGCAGATCCTTTTCCCTCCCAGCTGTCATCTACAACCCTCTCCCCTTTTAACAATTCCATATCAAACCGTCGTATTTAATAAGGCTGCTGTAAACACTTCCGTCTTCCTCTTCTCAGATTGAAGTTTAACCCAACATCAAATGAAAGGTTCAAGTGTCCTATATTGCAGTTAATATGCTTCTTTTTACTGACTGTGTACTGGGATTTGCATAGTTTGTCCTTTGTTGATTTATTGAATCATAGGCGATAGTGCGGCTCCATGACAGTGGGCTCACACAGGCTCTTTATATGGTAATGCAGGATCCCCGAGGTTTTTAATCGAAGTGAGGAACAGTAATAGTCTTGCATAATTTTCCCATTAAAGCTGACACAGCTGCTGTTCTACCTCCTGTTCTCCTCACCGCTGATATTCAGCGCTCTCCTTTAGCCTGCAGGTCCAGAGGAGCAAGACACTTCTCAGGTGTTGCGCTCTAATCTGTTTTCTAAACTTGACAGAGTCGATAACGGCCAGGACTTGATGTATTTATTCTCAGCCCTCAAGCAGTAATGTTTGCATTTCATTTCCCCTTCCTGTTATCCTTAAGATATTAAAGAGATCGTGCACAGAGATCCTGAGCGTGGAGCCCTCCAGCGTCTGCGTGAATCGTAAGTGAATCCTGATCAAGTTTTTGGAACTCAAGTCGATTTATCCTCCACATGTGCTGAATGAAACAATGACATCCTTCCAACTGTGTCGAGCCTGCTCACAGACAAGTAGAACTTTAATGTTGGCCGTGCAAAGTCATATGAGAGGCCATCAGAAGAAAGGCGAAGACTTTTAAAATTCCTCCTCCGAGCTCGTCTGCTGTTTGTTTACATTCCACAGAGTCCTTTGATATTGTCCTCAGAGGGAACGGCTTTGCGATCGGACGCAGCAATGAGGGCGTCGTCTGCAGCTTCATAGTTGGCCAGCAAACCTTCAGTAAGTGGAGAAAACCCAGAGTAAAAGCTTTATATACATACACCATGTAGTCTTTTAATGTCATAACTCACTGTGTTGGACTTACGTGGACTGGTCTGTGCAGTAAACTGATGGTGAGCATGCAGGATTCAACTCTGCACAGTTATTGATTAATAATTTGAAATATACAACACAGGTTCCAATCATAGGACAGTAACTCCCCTTTAATTAACTGCTGAAGCCACATTGTGACCAGAATGATGTCCTGACGAGCTCGTTACATCCTGCACAACCGAGCAATCGTTGCAGCTAAGCTGTCAAATGATCATTGGCCCAGTCCTGTTATTCACACAACACATTCACATCTAAAACTTTTGCGAATATTTGCTCAGATTTGTATTTTTACATTTGTGTCGTAAGTTTAAATTTTGCTCGTGGCTTTAAAAAAACTACCAGGGAAGTCGAAAATCATAAAGAGGAAGTCGGCATGTCCGCAAAGGAATTTTTTATGAAGACAATATCATGTGGCTGTCTACCAC